ACTACGATTTATTTTCAACTTCTTTTCAGTTCGGTAACCTATCTCTTCAGTTTTCTGAGCTACCTTTTATTTTCTACTCCTTTTCAGTTTGGCTATTTTTCCGTAACACATAATCGGATCATAATTAATAAACTCGCATGCCATATTGGATATGCCATCTTTAATTTCCAAAATTTGACGAAAGAATCATTATCTCCGAACCGGAAAACCCCCAGATACCAATTTTGAACAGAATCGAATCATAAATACAAAAGTTGTCCGCATATTGTATCCGCCATCTTAAATTTTCAAATTTTGGTAGAGAATTATAATCTTCGACCCCAAAAACACCGAGATACCAATGTTGTATGGAATCGTATCATAAATACATCTTGAATTTTCCAATTTTGATGAAAGAATCATAATTTCCAACCCCAAATCGGATCAAAATTACAAAACTCGTTCGCCATATTTGATCCGTTATCTCGAATTTTCAAATTTTGAGAAATGAAACATAATCTTTGACCCCAAAAACCTTCAGATACCAATTTTGAATAGAATCGGAACATAATTACAAAACTCGTCCGCCATATTGGATCCGCCATCTCGAATTTTCCAATTTTGACAAAAGAATCATAATCTCCGACCCCAAGAACCCCCAGATACTAATTTTGAATAGAATCGGATTATAATTACAAAACTCGTTCGCCGTATTGGATCCGCCATCTTGGATCCGCCATCTTGAATTTCTTATATTTTTTCTCTCATAAGAACCTTCCCCTGACAATAACAAACACAACAAATGAATTCGGTCAAGCCGTTTACGATTCAATAAAGGACATACAAACTTTCATTTTTATACAGGGTGTTTCAGAGTTATGGTGACAAGAGCCTAGGGACGATTCCTCTCAACAAAATATGAAAAAAATTGCATATGAACATGGATCCGAAAATGCTTCATTTCCGGGATATATAGGGTGTTCAAGTTTGAAAAAAAAAGTGTTTTCATCAATAACTTGAAGTCATTGGCCAGGGCGTCATTCAATTGTTAGACTTCTGACATCTCGATCGAAGATTTTCTTCCTTAAAACCCATATTTTCCATGGAAGAACATTTTTTTCATCTCTTGGTGCGCACGAAAGGGCATCCCTATAATGATCACCGAAAAAAATGTCTCTTGAAATAAAAAAAAATGCCCACTTGTGATAAGTCATTGAAATGGGTATTTTTCGCTCCATCGAATGACAGGAAAATATTTACAGGGTTCCATCCAAAATTCTCGACCCGGGTTGTTCTAGTGATTTGTTGTGATTATTTGTGTCATACCATTCAATAACATTGTATTTATCGCTATAAATTCGGAAACACCAGTCAGTATCTCATCAAGTTAATGATCCATTTTCTTGATTATTGTTAGCCAAATTGTAAACATATCCATTTCTGACCTTCCTGACATTCCTGACCACAGTATACAGGGTGAGTCATGAGGAACTGTACAGTGTGTCCAGTTTTCGATGCTTCTGCGCGATATCTCAGTTATCTTTGGAGATAGAGTGTTGCGGGTTCTACATTACTGCCTTACTTTTTTGTGAAACGAATAATGCCGCAAATAGAATTTTCACAGTCCTTCAGATACACGGCAAAGTTGAAAATTCACACTTTTTGAGCACCTATATACATTTCTCCAAGAAATTAACGCACCACCAAAAAGTTGCCAAAAGTTTAGGAAACATTTTCGTCAAAACTACACTCAGTTCCAAAAAAAGTGACGCACTTGATATTTGACCTATCTTCTTAAAAAAAAAATAGTAGGCCGATTTTTTTCTATTTGTTGGTAGGTACCGTAAACCGTAATGCATTTGGCTTTAAAAAAAATAAAGAGGTGACAATTTTTTCAAAGCCTTGATGGTGGTGGAATAACTCGAACCATGATTTATTCTTAATTTTTGACTCACCCTGTGTGTTAATTGAGTAATGGTATACAAAGTGCTTACACCCTATACGAAAGAGGCTTCTTTTGCGAGCATTTTGTTTTTTTATTCATTGATTTATCTCTAAAATTTTCCGAATTCCAGCTTTTTTGCTGATACCTTACGCTTATCCCACAAATTAAATTTATTGAAGGATCAGAGTACTCAAAATTGATTGGGTTGTACTCTGGTAAATAAATCCTGAACAAGTAGCAAGATTAGTTGCGTTAGTAAACGATGGGCGTAGTAAACGTTACGCCGCTCGTGCAGTGGGAGTTCATGAAGCAACTGCTCGTAGAGCAATCCGCAAATACGAACAAACAGGAAGCACCGCTCGGAGGGTCGGTTCTGGTCGCCCCCGAAAAATTTCTCCAAGAGATGATCGCTTATTGAGATTGCGGATTTTACGGAATCGATCAAATACTGCGGTAAATGTTCAGAAAGATCTTCGCCAAATTCGTGATGTTGCAGTAAGTAAGCAGACGGTATGTAGACGTCTAAAAGAAGTTAATTTAAAAGCTAGGAGACCTGCAAAAGGTCCCAAATTATTGCCCGAAAATCGTGCTGCTAGAAGAAATTTTGTTGAAAATTATGGACAGTGGAATATTCCTGAATGGTCGAATCTCTTGTTTACGGATGAGTCAAGGTTTTGCCTTAACATGGTGGATGGAAGAAAAAGAGTGTGGAAAAGAACTGGTGAACGGTTTAATCAAAATTTAATAACAGAATGCGAAAGTTTTAATGGTGGGTCCGTTATGGTGTGGGGAGGAATTTCAATGAATGGAAAGACACACCTTCATGTTTTTCCGGTGAGGCAGTCGATGAATGCCCAAATTTACATTGACATTTTAGAGCAGTATGTCTTACCTTATGCAGAGTTAGTGGGCAATAATTTTATATTGATGCAGGATAATGCCCGACCACACCTTGCAGCAATAGTGCGAAAATTCTTAGAAGCTACTGGTATTACCACATTACAATGGCCTGCGAGAAGCCCCGATATGAATCCTATAGACCATTTGTGGGATGAATTACGGAGAAGGGTACGTTCTCGCGAGAGGTCTCCGGAAAGTCTCGCTGAAATGGCAGATGCATTAGTGGAAGAATGGGATCGTATACCAATGGAAACGATAAGCAACTTAATTTCCAGTATGCCTCGTAGATTAGAAGTTCTTAGAGTTGCTAGAGGAGGCAATACACGGTATTAAGCAGTCATCTCAATTTATAATGTTGTGTTTAATTAATTTTTTTCTCTGAAATTATTGGTATCAGTTTATTTCATTAGAAAATTGTTTCTCGATAAATTCAGAAAGTTGGTAATCTGCAAGGATTCAGCAAAAAAGCTGTAATTCGGAAAATTTTAGAGATAAATCAATGAATAAAAAAGCAAAATGCTCGCAAAAGAAGCCTCTTTCGTATAGGGTGCAAGCACTTTCTATGCCATTACTCAATTAACACACAGGGTGAGTCAAAAATCAAGAATAAATCATGGTTCGAGTTATTCCACCAGCATCAAGGAGGCTTTGGAAAAATGTTCACCTCTTAATTTTTTTTAAAAGACAAATGCATTACCTACCAACAAATGAAAAAAAATAAAAATCGGCCTACAATTTTTTTTTTAAGAAGATAGGTCGAATATCAAGTGCGTCACTTTTTTTGGAACTGAGTGTACTTGCTCGATTTGGACGTTTTTAGTTTTGAATGACAGGTTATTTCCTACTGAACATTGATGATGTGCAAACTGTATTCGCATTAGAACCTTTTTTCCATGAATACCGATTACCGGGTGAAGCAATTGAAGCGTGCTTTTTTTTATAAAACTTGTAATACCCTGTGGAGTGTAACAGTTACGTTATCAAGTTGAAATTGATTGTACACTTAAGCCTTATCTTTAATCAACATTCCTGTTTTGGATTCAATGCGTGTTGTAAAGCAATTACGCACTCATGGAATTACTTTTTCATTCGTGCGTAATATGCTTCTTACAACACATATTACGTAATATACTATTACAATGTAGTTGTGTATTAATCTCCCTAAAATGCATTAGAGACATTTTTTATCAGATGAATACATTACAAATTGCAATACATTACAAATTGCATTCAAATTTTATTGTCATCTGGCAAAAAAATCTCGAATCAAAGGAAGTAGAAAAAATCGCTCGAGAAAGGTCTCGCGGATTTTTTCACTTCCTTGATTCTCGATTGTTTGCCATGACAATATAAAACTTCCATACAATTGAACATGTATCAATCGATGAAAAAATCATCCCTTATGTATTTGCCCCCGAAAAACAAAGTTGCTAGCATTTACTGAAAAACCGGAATTCCGCCATTTTGGATTGTAGTGTGTGGTCAAATCCGAAATGGTTGCTTATATATCTGTTCCTAAGAGTAAAAAATAGAAACCATAAACATTAGGTGAAAAACTATCGAGAAAATCAGCGATGGGAAGTTGATTCGAAATATTTTCAAGTTTCTGAAATGGCCGGCAGAGGGTGAATTTCTCATCGCCGATTTTATGTGAGGTTTATGGTTTCATAATATCGTACCTCGCCAATCTTAGTTTATATTCAAAATTGGTATCTGTGGTTTTTGTGGTAATCAATTATGATTCTTCTGTCAGAATTGGAAAATTCAAAATGGCGGCTCCAATATGGCGAACGAGTTTTGCAATAATTATGATCCGATTATATTCAAATATTCTGGGGGTTTTCGGGCTCGGAGATATTATGAATCTTTCCTCAAAATTGGGAAATTCAAGATGGCCTATCCAATATGGCGAACGAGTGTTGTAATATGATCCAATTCTATTCAAAATTATGGGTATCTGCGAGGGTATCTGGGGTTTGTTCTCGGTCGGGAATTATAATCATTTCATCAAAATTGAATTTTTATAAAATCTAGTCTTTGAAGGTGTTTCTAATAATTCTCTTGTTCAATTATTGTCAATCGCTACAGCTACACACTGAGTATATTATTTCTGTCTCAATCTCTCTCTCTCAACGATGCCTTTCTGTCTCTCAACGATGCAAATCTCTCATTCTAGGTATGGTAGACTGCTTCGTCCGCATCCCCAAAGAGCAGGGTGTCTTGGCGTACTGGCGCGGTAATACCGCCAACGTTATCCGGTACTTCCCCACGCAGGCCCTCAACTTCGCCTTCAAGGACAAGTACAAGCAGATCTTCCTGAGCGGCGTCGACAAGAAGACGCAGTTCTGGCGGTACTTCCTGGGAAACTTGGCGTCCGGCGGTGCTGCCGGGGCCACGTCTCTTTGCTTCGTCTATCCTCTCGATTTCGCCAGAACCAGGTATGTGCTGGGCATTATTTTCAGAAATTTGATATCCCAGATGACATAAACAACCGCCGCGACGATATTTCTTTCTTATTCATAGAGAGTACTTCCGAGCAAAGCGATATCTCAGTTGACAGTGTATCTGACTACCACGGCAGTGACTCGTGTTCAACCCCTGCGAGTCCTAACTTTTTTTATTATTTTTTTTTTAAGAAAGGTGCACGTTGACCGACCCTGGAGGTAAAATATTGAAACAGCCTCACTTTTCTGTAAAACATTGAAACACATCCTCACTTTTTTATTTGTTTACAGAGGAATCAAAGGATTCAAATAGTTTTTCACAATATTTTGACATACGAATCGTGTTTTTTGTGCTATTCATTAATTCAAGCATGTCTTCTCATTGTGCTGTTGTACAATACACAAATGCAGCGAGAGACGAAGGAATATGATGATTCAGGTAAATAGTAATCTCAATTTATTGATAGCAAATAATTATAAGTCAAATTTTGGTAAACAATCAATATTCCATAATGGAATAATTTTGTATAACTCCTTACCTAATGAGTTGAAAAATATAGAAGAAGCAGAAAAATTTAAAATGAAATTAAAGAAATATCTGCTCAGTAAACTTTAATAGTACTAATCATTCACAATTTGATTACTTGTAATGGATTATGATATTTTCATTTTATATTTTATTATAATTCTTTTTTTTTAAGGAAAAAAAATAATTGTGCAATTATTATTGTTTCGATTTATTATAAACAATAATGTTTCTTGGGGTAATAAAGACAATCAATCAATCAATTATACAATTGTGTCATTTCTTATTAAAATGCCTTCTGCCACTACTGTAATAAAAGCTAATACTGCTGATAGATTGAAAATGTCTACAACACACACGATCATATTTCGTCAGCATGTCAGACCAGTCCTTCCGTTTGATTGCATGAATCTAATCTTCTTGCATTCTTATAGAAATTTTACCAGTATTTCTATCAGCTCCTATTGCAGAAGGAATTCAGATAAGAAATCGGAGAAATTACCAAATTTCAAAATGAAAACTATATGTGAGTGACTATAGTAGGTACTCATTTTAAAATGATAATGTACCAACCGGATTCCTTCGTCTCTCGCTGCATTTTTTTGTGCATTGTACAACAGCACAATGTGATGGCATAGCCGAAAAACACATATAAGAATAGGTAACCACCGACGGTTGTTTATGTATGTACTTATAAAAGCAACTTTTTCAAAAACAAATAATGTTCACCTCCATTAATTTCTAAAATACGGCTGAAGATGGACTTTAATAAGTTCGAAACATGTCCCGTTGAATAACTACATCATTATTAAAGTTGTGAAGATGACTTTGAGCTTTCCTTCCTCCTTTTATTAATAAATTCAATGACAAGCAGTCACAAGTGGCAGCTAATAAAACTGGCAACATTTCGTTATTGTTTGTAAAAAAAATGATGAAAATGAATAACCTACATCTCAGTAGTTTTTTCCTCCTGTATTACCGTACAGCCACATAAGTCTGAAATTAGTATAATTCGACCCACATTTCAATGCCCATGTTTTGTTCAGAAATTTGGTATGAAACCATATACAGTGTGTCCCACTTACCATGCTCACCATGGGTATCTTTTCAACGGTGAGAGATACGAGGTCGGATGAATGACACCAAATGTGGAGTTTGTCAAGGCCAACTATAATGTGAAAAAATATTTTGATAAAATCTATTCGTTTTTGTTTTATACGCAAAAAACAGATTTTGATCATTTTCATGTCTCCTCCGTTACTACTTTATTTATGAAAATATTCAAATAGGAATTTCACATTCTCATGGCAGTTTTTCAAAGTGATTCCGAAAAAAATATGAAATTTATACCAACTCTTCTAGAATTCGAGATATCAGCATCAACTTTAGTTTTTCAAATGTAGGTCATAGCTCACTATGACTTAGTTACAAATAACTTTTTTTTTCTCTTACAGATGATATGTCGCAGTAATAGTTTTGTGTTGATAACAACGGCGTTATCGTCATTTATACAAAAACAAAAAATTATTTGGAAGCCGCCATCTTGAATTTATAAATTTTAACAAAAAAATCATGATCTCCTACCTCAAAAACCCCCACTTACCAATTTTGAATGGAATCGGACCAAATCTTGTCCGCCATCTTGGAGCAGCCATTTTTTTAAATTTCAACAAAAATTCCATAATGTATTGTCACCGAAATTATGAACACCTGCCAAATTTCAAGTTAATCGGAGTTATGGAATTTTTGTTGAAATTAAAAAAAATGGCTGCTCCAAGATGGCGGACAAGATTTGGTTCGATTCCATTCAAAATTGGTAAGTGGGGGTTTTTGAGGTCGGAGATCATGATTTTTTTGTTAAAATTTATAAATTCAAGATGATGGCGGCTTCCAAATAATTTTTTGTTTTTGTATAAATGACGATAACGCCGACGATAAAAAGTTATTTGTAACTAAGTCATAGTGAGCTATGACCTACATTCGAAAAACTAAAGTTGATGCTGATATCTCGAATTCTAGAAGAGTTGGTATAAATTTCATACTTTTTTCGGAATCACTTTGAAAAACTGCCATGAGAATGTGAAATTCCTATTTGAATATTTTCATAAATGGAGGAGTTACGGAGGAGACATGAAAATGATCAAAATCTGTTTTTTGCGTATAAAACAAAAACGAATAGATTTTATCAAAATATTTTTTCACATTATAGTTGGCCTTGACAAACTCCACATTTGGTGTCATTTAACCGACCTCGTATCTCTCACCGTTAAAAAGATACCCATGGTGAGCATGGTAAGTGGGACACACTGTATAGGACCGCGCGTTCTAGTCATAAGATAGGAAGATTATGTGTTCTGTGGCCGCGCATCAATCCAACTCATTTTCTTTTTTCCAGGTTGGCAGCTGATGTAGGAAAAGGCGCCGGCGAACGCGAGTTCAGCGGCCTGGGCAACTGCCTCACCAAGATCTTCAAGGCCGACGGTCTGGGCGGCCTCTACCGAGGATTCGGCGTGTCCGTCCAGGGCATCATAATTTACAGAGCCGCCTTCTTCGGCTTCTACGACACCGCCAAGGGTATCCTGCCCGACCCCAAGAACACGCCGCTGCTCATCTCGTGGGCCATTGCTCAGGTAACTGCTTGTTTTGATTATTGGTCGAAATGTGATCTGCAATATCATCGTTGTATCACTTAGATATTCAATGGTTCAAAGTGATTATCAGTATCATCTTGCAGTCATTTATTGTTTTCATAGAAGTGAGTGATAATTTTTACCGTTACTCGACCGAAAAGCAGATACATATAATAATGAAGAGGATGGACAGCCCTAATTTCGAGTGACAGCGGAAAATGAAAAAACTCCACCGCCCCGTGTGAGAGTCGAACTCACAACTACGTTCGGTACTTCCTTTCTTTGGTCATTTCAAATCATAATTGTTTTTCTATCCGTTGCACTCGCGATATTCTCCTCTTATTGCCAGTTGAACAATACTCCCTTACAGTTACCACTTAATAATGAATATCAGTTATAATACCTTGTTATGATTGTCCCTTATTGTTACTGTAACTTCTGCTCATCATTTTGTTTTCTTCTTCCTCAGACTGTCACAACTGTTGCTGCTATTATCTAGTGTTCCCTGGACACCTCTATGTCTACTGTAATTTGCAACTAGTAATATTTATCCCTTATCATCATAGTTCGAAATAATTAGTTGTCCCTTATTGTCAGCTTCAACTTTTAGTAATCATAAATGTACCGCTGATTCAGCCTATAATTTTGCCTTTTTCTTCTTAATACTGTCACAACCGATGATGGCATCATCCCGTATTCCTTCGAAACTTTTTTTTTTGTTTTCACTGTCGGTTGCAACCTCAAATATTTGTCCCTTATCACCAAAGTTTGTAATTATAGTTGTCCCTTATTATAAGCTGCAGCATGTATCTGATCCACCCCATAATTTTACCTTATTCTTTCTCAGACTATCACAACTGTTGCTCGCATCGTCTTGTATCCCTTCTACACTTCTTTTTTGTCCTTAGTGTCAGTTTCAACTCGCAATATTTGCCCATCATCGTCAAAGTTTCTAATTAAAGTTGTCCCTATTGTCAGCTGCAACATGTACAGCTGACCATGCCTATAATTTTGTATAATTCCTTCTCAGACTGTCTCAACTGTTGCTGGCATCATCTCGTATTCCTCCGACACTTCTTCTTTGTTCTTACTGTCAGTTTCAACTCGTAATATTTGCCCATCATGGTCAAAGTTTCTAATTGAAGTTGTCCCTTATTGTCAGCAGCAACATGTAGCAACATACAGCTGACCATGCATATAATTTTGTATAATTCTCAAACTGTCTCAACTGTTGCTGGCATCATCTCGTATTCCTCCGACACTTCTTATTTCTCCTTACTGTCAGTGCAACTTGTAATATCTATCCCTTATCATCAAAAGTTATTAATGATAGTTGTCCCTTATTGTCAGTTCCAAAATGTTGTAATAACAAATGTCTTACGACTGTTCTCACTGTCAGTTGCAACCTGAAATAGTTGTCCCTCATCACCAAAGTTTGTAATTATAGTTAGTTGTCCCTTATTGTAAGCTGCAGCATGTAGCAATATGTATTTGATCCATCCCATAATTTTGTCTTCTTCTTTCTCTGACTATCATAACTGTTGCTGGCGTCATCTTGTATCCATCCTACACTTCTTTTTTGTCCTTAGTGTCAGTTTCAACTCGTAATATTTGTCCATCATTGTCAAAGTTACTAATTATAGTTGTCTCTTATTGTCAGCTGCAACATGTAGCAATATGTACAGCTGATCATGCCTATTATTTTGTATGATTCCTTCTCAGACTGTATCAACTGTTAATGGCATCATCCCGTATTCCTCCTCCTTGTTATATTCGTCCCTTATCAAAGGGTGTGATAATAGTTGTCTCTCATTGTCCTGATCCAGCCTATAATTTTCTTTACTCATTTTTCAGACTGTTACCACCATTGCCGGCATCATCTCGTATCCCTTCGACACGGTGCGTAGGCGCATGATGATGCAGTCCGGCCGCAAGAAGACCGAAATCATCTACAAGAGCACGGCGCATTGCTGGGCCACCATCGCCAAGAGCGAAGGCGCGGGAGCCTTCTTCAAGGGGGCCTTCTCCAACGTGCTGCGTGGTACCGGTGGTGCCATTGTCCTGGTCATGTACGACGAGATCAAGAACGTCATCATGTAATAGTCCTTATTTACGTTTCACCGCCGAGAGGAGATGTTATCTTAGCTCGCGAACCATCAACATCGTCACTAGGAACGCTTTAGCAAAATTGTGTCCTTCGGGTTTTGCTCCTGGGAACCATTCCGGGTGGAGGAACCACTTTTTGGCGGTTCGCTGTCGATCCATCTGTCTTTGAAGGAGCACAGCTCGGAGGAGTTTTGTATATAGTTGTACATTTATTTATTTTTTCCGTTCGTTATGAGACTAGGCCTGGGCCGAACTTCCCCCCCCCCTTCACAGGAAGTATGATTTAGGTTGATTTTTAAGGAAATCTTGTAGGTCGACTTTGTTTTGAAGTTTTGCGGGTCCGCCACGAAATACTGTCGATTTTGGTTAACCAAAAGTTGAATATTGTATCATCGAGATACTGATGGTAAATTAAAAAAATTGAATAATTGAAGATTTGTTTTTTTTATTCCCTGTCCCTATACAATAATGAATTCGCCAATTTCAAAATGGAACACCAGATACAGGGTGGTCTAAATTGACTAATGGTCATTCAGAAAGTTGGCATCATATGGTAAAAAGCTCATAATAGTATATTTTGAAATTCGACATGGACATACAAAGTTTTGCTATGAAAAAGATGAAGAATGTCCTACTAGGTACCGCTTTAAATGTCAAAAGTTACATTTTTGCGAATCATTTACTGAAAACAGGCTTATTGTTTGAATGTCATAAAAGTTTACAAAGCAAATTTGTTTCGATGCCGATTTCACACGTGTCTGGTTTGGAACTTAGATTTTGGTATATTTAATTTTTTTTCGAAATGTCTGTGATATTAAAAAAGTTGCTTCGACTAGTCGCTAGATGATGGTATTAGTTAGATAAGAGTTCAGATACATAAATTACAACTGTTAGTGATTTTGAATGTTTAGATTCATTAAGTTACATACCTCGCATTGTGACGAGAGCACCATAGTCGTTCCGCGCCTTTTCATTCAAAATTATATTTGGATTTGACAATAAATACTATGAATGTCAGAATTAAATTACAGTTTCATAAACTATTAAGAAGAATATATGGACGGAATGTATGAAAGGGCCTGGATGGAGAATGAATTTGAAGACAAGCAAAATTTGTGAGGTAACTACATGAGTTAAAATGCACTTTTTATAAGAGCAGATAAGAATTAAACTATATTTTAGGCCCATTTTCAATTAGAAGATTTTAAGATCCGTTTGAGAGAATCAAAACAGACTATTTGAAAAGAGAATCCATTATTATCATTACACGAAATGCAAAATAAATATATAATAATAATAAAACTATAATGGAGAAAGAGGAATTAATTGCAAAACTAGGTAATGAAATCGAAAATTTGAGAACGGAACTGAAGAAAAAAAACAAAAAAATTGCAATGTGATATATCATTGACTGGCGTTTTCAATACCGCCGAACTAGCTAAAATAAGTATATCCGTTATATCCATATATGTGTCTATTTTATCATTGAAATGTTGTTACATGCATTCTTTTCATTTTTATAACTGCTGTCCGTATATAAATTGAAGTGGGTGATTATATCCCATTTCTATTTCCATCTACGGCTATGATTGATTTGATAGGAAATCTAACCTCTAAAATGGTATCTGACAATCAGGGAAATTGAAAAGAGAAAGAGAAGAATATATTATATAATTGTCCATATGATGACAACTTCCTGAAAGACACTGCGTATAGGACATTTTTTCATATTTTGATGAGTTGTTACGTTGACCTATATTTTTTTTTTTTTTTTTTTTTTTTTTATCGCTTGGAGCGCACGAAAGGGAATCCCTATAATGTTCAAAGAACATCGTGCGTTCCTAGGGAGGATAGGGACAAGAGGTAGGTATTGGAATTTTTTTTGAACTTTTGAAGATTATATGTTGTTGGGAATACTTCCACAGGCAATGAATTCCACAGCCTAGCCGTTCTATGGATGAAGGAGTCTTGATAAAGTGCTGTTCGACATCTTGATATTTATGTTAAAATCTGAACATCCTGATTGTATAAACACCCTTTTGTTCAATATAATTAATACAGGGTAGGGTGTCCATGAAAGGTCTTTATATAAACTTACCACATATTCCTCAGACAGGGTAAACTTACCTCAGTAAAAAGTTGCTTATTCTGGGCGCTAAACGGCTCTGAAGTAACAATTTTTTGCTTCATAACTTTGAAACAGCTTTTTTTATGTAAATGGAAACGCTGCGTTGAGTATATTTTTGACTTTCAATGGTGAATTCATGATCGACACGTCCTAACTCAAGAAAATCCTGCGATAATAGTTTATTTACTCACTTTTATTGGTACATACAATAAATCTAATGTTCGGATTTTCAAATAATCCTCACACATTGCAGCAGTCAGTTCAAGATGAAAGCACAATATACACTATCACTCAACTAATAATACAATATCATACCTGGGATCGATGCCCGGTAGGCTCGCATAAAAAAAAAATTATTCAGAAAACAGGGTGTTTCATGATTGAATGCTGATACTAAAGGGCGATAATCCTTGGATGATTTTAAGAAAAATTCTTCATGTGAACATAGGTCCGTAACAGCTTCGTTTCTGAGATACAGGATGTTGAAATTTAACAAAAAAATCAGTTATTCCCCAATATCTCTGGAACCGTTCTGGCTTTTTTCTTCAATTTTGATACATGCCGAGTATGAATAAAAATACATTTTTTCCATAATGAAGGATTTCTTAATTTCCATCAGTGGCGTCCCTGTTAACATACCATGTCATATTTTTCATCAAAATAATGATACGCCACTGTCTTTTTTCTAAATAAATATTATTATTGTAATTATCCTTTATCTTCTCATAAATATGGTCTCTTGTCTTTTTATCGTCCGGTGAACGGTTTTTGAGTTAGAAAATAAAATGCATTCATTTGCTTGTCCCTATTCGATTTTTACTCTTAATCATAATTTCACAATTGTGGTAACCAAAAGATCTCAGCAATATTTTTATAATTTTATGGTAACTATTTTTAAGTATTAATTTGTAATGAAGAAAAAAGCCAGAGCGGTTTCAGAGATATTGGGGAATAACTGATTTTTTTGTTAAATTTCAACATCCTGTATCTCAGAAACGAAGCTGTTACGGACCTATGTTCACATGAAGAATTTTCCTTAAAATCATCCAAGGATTATCACCCTTTAGGATCAGCATTTAATTATGAAACACCCTGTATATAAGACCTTTTCTACTCTGTCTAGATCTTTCTTGACTATCTGAGTAAAAAAGGCGAATTTACGTTCATTCAGAAATTCATGGTCCTGAATAGACGTACTGGGGATGTACAAATGCGCGGAATCTGAATGTCACCAGTACGTACCTAGTACGTCTACGGTCCTACTCTGGGCGTACCCAGTACGTATAAAACGTCTTAGCCAGACGTTCTCAGTACGTTTTGTGGACGTACTGGTGCTATATGGGATGTGTTGAGTTTCTGTAAAGACCTTTCAGGAACACCCTGTATCTCGAGAGGATTGCTTGAGGGATCAAAATCAAACTTATTTGCTATTTGTTAAACAAATATATTGTAAAAATAAATATAAATTATTCGGAAAATAAATAACATTAGGGTCCAGAAGAATTCGTTATTACATAATAAAATTTAATACAATTATAATACTTTATTGCTTAAGTAGATTTGAGAAATCATCTAGGAAGTAAGAAAAAAATTTTGAAGCAAAATAAGTAACCACACCAATAATTATTCAGTTACATGCAACATTTTTTTATGTATTTATATGAGTATCACAACAATAAATACCGGAAGATCCAACAAAAATTCTCAGATGGAAAATACTTATCTCATCAGGAGCTGAATTATTAAGTAACATTATAGTTCCCAAAAGAGATTATAATAATATAATTGTATATTCAATATACGGTCCCATATAAGATTTTTGGTGGTAAGGATAATCAAACCGATGTATAACTAGTTCAAATTTTATTCTTTAAGAACATTTTGGGATCACCCGGTATAATATGAGAACATCCTTGATGTTCTTCAGTGGAATGCAATAGAATTTCAAAAAAATAGAACAAATAATCAGAACATAATCGCTGATTGGACGAAACATATTAAGGAATGTTTCAAAGAAACACAAAATAAACACAGCATACTGGTATTGCACAAAAAGAAAAAAAAATCCGAATTGCACAAACAAAAAAAACAGAAAATCCAAATTGCACAAACATATAAGAGGATGAAAATGTAAAAAATGCACAAATGACTATACTTATGAAAAAATCTTCGAAATTATTTGTTTAGCAACTAAATTCGAAAGAGTACACAAGAAGATACATGATATTATACAAATGTCTGATATTAAATCAAGAATAAAAAAATCACAAATTTCTATTCATGACTAGGATGATAATGAAAAACACCAGATTTTGAAATTGGATTTAAAAGTACTTATGTAATTAAATTCAGGCAAAATGACCTCCAGATTAAGAAATGATATGAAATTTCACTAGACATCCTTTAAATTCACTTCTATCAATTTTTGTTTATTTTGACTGTTATTGGTACCTACACTTCTTTTTCAGTGATACGTTTTATACTTCTGGAGGACATTTCGCCAAAAAATCATTATTTATAATAGGTAGTTCTACTCCCATATGAAAAAGTCAACAATAAATGAATGTTCTCTGAATTGAAAAAAAAAGTGGTTGAAACCAGAAAAGGAACAGCTGAAGATTTCTTTCGAGTTGAAACAAAATGGGAGGTCTCATGAGAAGAGAAACAGACTGCATACCCCCCATAACTTTGTCTGATGAGCAGTGCAAAGATAAAACATTCATGTTGAATAATATCAAAATGTGCTTCCTCGCTTCAATGAAAAAATACAAATCTCTGTTTCGATAAAAATTAATATTTTTAGTTCCGGTGTAAACAGGGTGTTTCATAATCAAATGTCTATTTCTCTGCATTGTGATATTGCCATATTAACAATATTGCTATAAATCATGTAGTGAAAAGCTTAAGCGAAAACAGTGCATCAGATTGAAAAAATTGTGGTGATCAAAGGACCCCGCACGAAAACACGGGAAATTGACTCTCGATCGAATTGGCTGAAATTTCACTATGTTTTCGTGGGATGGCTCATTAGAAAAATATGTGAGTTTGAAAAGTTTTGTATGTTCAGTTTCTGAGATATAAGCCGACAAAGTTCGTAAAAACGTCGTATCGAGGTAGGATTGACAAAGAAAAAAACTGTTTTTTCAGTATAAATAAGACAAAATAAGCTAGAAAATGTATTGATCGGAACTCAAATACATGTCTAGTTATGATCACATAAATTATAGTAAATCAGGGTGTATAC